TAATTTTCCCTTTTCTAAAATGATATTTTTCCTTTACCATGATGAATTTCGCCGTGAATTATGCAAAAAGACACTTTTCATATTGTTCTATTCAACATTTTCACGATTAATTCAACTCCAATCTATTTCGGCGTACCGTCTGCCCGTAGCGTATGAAAACGCCATTCGTTTTACATGATTCAAAATTTCATGATTTTTGACAATTGTCGAACACTCTGACAAAAGTTTTTTTTTTTTTTTGACTTGACGGTTAAAACCGTAAAATGTCAAAAACTTGCCCACTCTGCTAAATTATGAATTTTTTTGAAGTGCTTAAAAATATTTTTAAGTGCTTGAAAGGTCCTTATTTTTTTTAAAAAAATTTGGTTACGCACCCTGTTTAATGTAAAAATGTATTTCGAAATGCGTGTAATATTTTAAAAGTTTTTGATAATTGCACGAGACAAATTCTTTGTTTGAATCCTGAAACTTCTAGTTAATTCTTAACAGTCATCTGATTTATTTATTTTTTTCCGTTTCTCCCGATCTTCAATTACCTAAATTCAAAAATAAATTTTGACGAAATAATAATAATATTTAAAAGCTCTTGCGTTATTGATTAATTTACAAAATGCCCCGTGTTTCTTGACTGTGGTTGCTACTTTATTTGTTTATCATGGTAACTATAGACCTCCCATGACAAAACTGTGTCGTCATGACTTAACTATTTACATTGATTTGCCAATTCAAGACCATGCTCTTGTTATATTTTGAAACAACAATCGGTATTGTGGAATATCTTATTAATTAATTAGTATGAGCTTGAATGTCATAAGTAAATTTTGCATTAAATGTTGTGCTACAGGTTTTATGCAATATAGAAATTTTTTCATGATCGTAATTAGAATAGTAGCGATGGCTGGTTTCATAAATTGCTACAGGCTTAATTTTGTTAATATTTGTCGAAATTTTTGAAAAGTGACGATGTCTCATCAATTCTTATATTGCTCCCAGCTTAATTTAGCTAATCATTATAGTGACTTTCGACGAGCGTGGTTGGAATAACGATGATGTCTGATTAATTCGTTCATTGCTCCAAGCCTGCCCCATCCCACACTTTTAACGCAAAATATTCCTAGATTCAAAAATCATTGCCATCGAATTAATTGTGGAATATTTTTGGAGTTTTCCTCTTTTTGTTCTAGAATACGGGTTAGTTGGTTAATTCCACTCAATGCTTCCACAAAAGCAAGCTTGTTCTGATACTTGATTCTGGATCAGATTTATAGTTACGGAATGGAACATTAAGTGCCTTTATATCTAGTCGTGTTAATAAAAATAAAATACTTTAAGAAAAAAGGAGGAAAAGAAGTTTCTTTGTAATAAGATAATGCTTACTGTAAAGAAACGTAATCCACTTTGAAGAATGCAATAAATTGTATTTTGAGAATAATTAGTCATTTATTTAACTTTAATATTGCATCAATTTATTTCTTTTCTCTAAGTCGGAGTCTTTTTTTTTCTTCTTCTTTTTTTTAAGTTTTTTTTAAAAATAAATCCAACTTGGAAACATGTGCTAAAACAAAGAATATTATTAGCGTGCACTAAAATATTTCTGGCATGTTGATGATAATATTAAAAGTTACAAAAACATCCATTACATTTATTGACATTTGCAACAATGCTAAAAGTTGAGATAAAAGCTCATTAAGTGCAAGCGGCATATTGTTTTCATTCAGTATTTTTATCTCCTTTATTCCAAGTCAGGGGTCTGTTTAGAAGAAATTTGGGTCCGTTTAACACGAATATCTTTACGAAATATCTTTTCGTAAAAACGGACCCTTCACAAAATATTTTAACTTAAAAACGGACCCTTTACAAAAGAATTGTTCTTTTAATCGAACCGTTCACAAATTTGTTTATCTTCATTATTGTTTTGGTAATCGAATAAAAACCCTTCCCAGGGGGAAAAAAAAGATGGATGTAAAGGATTTAAGTTTTGTCTTCGGCAGACGCTTCTTCCATTATTCGTCCGAAATGAATATTCTGTGTTCAGCAGTATAAACTAAATACAAAATTTTTATATGTTACGTCTCTAATTTAGGAGCAGCAATTGCTGTTTATTTTTGATTTTTTTTTTTTTTTTTTTAAATTATAATTTTACAGTGTTGAGCATAATCTTGTATGTATCTACAATTTAAAAACTCATTGAAAAAGTTTTTGCAATAACAGGACCACCCTATTTGCACAAATTCATAAAAGCAGGAAGAATGTGACTTAACGTTTATTTTATATTCACAAATTACGAATAATTTTTTCACAATTTTACAAAAATAGAACCCTTTACAAAATGTCTGGACAGACCCCTGCAAGTTTCATTGCACATATTAAAGTAACTTAACTTATTTATGCAGAAAGTTACTTTAATGTGTGCAGTGTCTACTGCAATATGTGCAATTCTACTTTTCCAATATGTGTATATCAATTGGAAAAGTAGAATTTCAAAATTGAGTAAAATAATATAACTTCTAGATTCGCTTCAGATAAAATTAATTAATACGTTTTTTCATTTTATTAATTTATTTTTTATTTATTTATTTTGTGCTTGAAGTATTTTATCCAAAATTTCTTTTTAAAAATCAAATTCTGTTAGTATATTTTCAGGATTTCGTCTCAAGTTCCGAATGTCTTCCTTCTAAATCCGTATTCTTTTTGGCGATCATTTACCCTGCAACCCCTTCCACAAATACTAGATATAAAAAACGCTTATAAACTGTCAAATAAATGCTCTTCTCCTCTTTTCCCCCTTTTTATCCCACAATTTAATATCCCTCCAAATCGAAATTCCCCCGAGAGGTTGAACTGGACTTGGAAAAGGAATGAAAATATAAAGCAACCATTCCCATTCGATTAGATATTGTAAATATAGAATTAGCATCTAAAATCGCTTCTCTAAACATACTCTATCTTACCACTAGTCTATGTTTTCCATTTGCTAACACTCCAAAAACAGGTCTCTTTTTTTTTTCTCCCTCCCTTGCTGCTGTTGCTTTGGATTGCTCTTAATATTTCTAGCAGTTTATAAATAATAGCGGGAAGAAAATCGGTTTTAAGGCAAGCATTATACTATTAGAACAGGGTTGGCACGAACATTAAAAGTGCTTAATTTTATATCACTAAAATTGCTTTTAGGTGCTTTTTTCTTACCTTAAAGTGCACCTTAGGTGCTTTTTTCATTAGATGTTTTTAAAAAGTGCTTAATTTTCCCTTTTTGAAAATGAGATTCTTTTCTTTACCATGTCGATTTCCGCCATGTATTATGCAAAAGCGTGCTTTTCACATTGTTCTATTCAACGTTTTCACAATTCATTTCGGCATACCGTCGATCGGTAATGTGTGAAAGCTCTAATCGTTTTACATGTTTGATAAAATACTTGCGAGTCCGCATGTACGTCTATTGAGCTGGGTTCGGTGAGATTCTTGCTCTCTCATGTGCAACTCGGCTGCATTTTGCAAGATATTCTTAATTTCAGGCTTCATTTTCCACCTTCTGATATCGAATCGAAAAATCTCTTGATCATTTTATTATGGCTAATATAATCAAGAAAAGCGTTCCTTGTCAGGAACTAGTTATTTTATCATGATCTTGTAAAGTCTTTGAAATTATTTTGCATTTTGTTAATATATATTGTGCTTACAAATATTTTTTAATTGCTTAAAAAGTACTTAAAAGTTGCTTATTTTCAGTTGAAAGGTTTGGCTACGCGCCCTGCGAAAGTTATATTTTATAATTTTTTTTAAAATTTAAGTTATGACTTTTTGACACCTTCGATTCGCGATGATTTCATAGTTATTTCAAGTTGTTATATGACAGTTTTTTCGACCCTTTCCACTTGATTTTTTTAAAGTGCGAATTCGGACGCACGAGTTTAAAATTTGATTTATTATTTTTTGAAGTGCTCAATTCCATCCTAAATCCACGCCGTTTTTCGATAGTTTTTTCAGCCAATCCCTCGTTGTTTATGAAGTTTTGATATTTTTAATTATTACGATGGTACTATTACAATCGAATATCAAATTTGAGTAACAACTATTTCTTAACGGTTTATTAAAAAATTGCGTTTGATCGTAGTTCGATTCCATGATGATTTCTTTGCGTTTTTTTTTTCAGCCATTCGCATATGTTCTTTCGATTCGCTTCTTTTGGACGCGTTAGTCATACGACGATTCCATCGCAATTTCACGTCGTTATGTGATAGTTTCTTCGGTTATTTATAATTTTTCGGCTCTTTCCGCTTAGTTCTTCTAATTCCGATTTTTTTTTTTTTTTTTTTTTTTTTTTTTTTTTTTTTTTTNTTTTTTTTTTTTTTTTTTTTTAATATTATATGATGTTATTACGACGTGCAAATTTCGAATTTGAGTAAACACTTTTTGATACGTTGATGATATGAGGCTATTTGAAAAACTATTATGCTTGACATTTCATATTAAATTCACAATTTACCTGCATTTCAAAGATGTATTTTTATTATTATTTCTTTCGCGTTATTTATGAACATAATATCCTCTCGTGCAGAATTTGCCAATTGAGCATAACATTTTCAGGGATTTTAATTTTTCTTTTTGATATATATATATATATATATATAGTTCAGTAGAGTTTTTGTTTGCTTATTTTTAAAAATGTTTTCAAGTAGGGACTGCATACTGTCCTATATGATTGCTGCTAAGAATAATCCACTTGTAAAAATATGAAAGATAACAACTTTCCTTACTCCATTTATTTGTTCAAAAAATTTAAAATCATGCTAACATATAACATTCGAACTGTTAGTTAAATCCTTACAGTATTTGAAATCATAGATGTGTTTTAATTTTACTCATGTTCTTTCAATTTAAAGTAATGTACTCATTTTGCCTTTAAGTCCTTCTAACATAGCAAATTGTATTGTTTTATTATTTATTTATTTATTTTTCAATTCTAATTTTATCTGTCACATTTCTTTTTTGTGCTTTTTTAGTATAAAGAACCCTGGACTTCCATAAAATCATCAGAAAATAGAATTGACACTAAATCAGAAATCTTTTCAGAAGCTTGCAATTTATTATGGACTTTATGGTAAAATTCAAAATTATTTATTAAAACATTTCTGATTTTAGCAATAAAAATAACACTTGTCCTAATTGTCTTTTTTTTTTTTTTTAGTGAAAATAGTAGTACAGCTGTTACAGTATTCAACGACAGGAATCTAATTTCAATTTTATTACCTTGCCTTACCATTGAAAATTTTAATATAAAAATACCTATTGCTGTTGGTAAGAAATGATGTTTTGTTTCATTAAATATACCTTGCCATTATTTTATTGTTTTTAGTCTGCTTTTATAAAGTAATAAACCCATATAATGCAACTAGTTCATTTAATTGATATAATGATTTTTTGTTTAAATTTTGTATCTAGATTAAAAATTTTAATTTTAAAATTTAAAATTACAGTGAAACAACTTGTTTTAAATTATTAATCTTCCTTTGATAAAGTGAATTAAACTCTTCCTTTTGCCTAACATTTTACATTTTCAGCATATTTTTATTGTTTAATAAAGTTTTGTTTGCCAATTATGTTTAAGATATCAAACTGGTGTTAACAAGAATTTTTTTTTAAGCATTTAGGTGGTATAATTAAAGAGAAACTAATAAATTATTGCAAAATAAACACTTATGCATTGGTTTCCAAAAATAATGTTACAAATATGAAATTTGTGAAAACTGAAAAACTATTCACTGGAGTCCCACGAATTTTAGTGCAGAAACATATTGCAATGGTAGAAAAAATATAAGAAAATAGCAATAAAGAAAAGATTTTAATCGTGATATTTTCAGTGAAATCTTTTCTTTATTGTTACTTTATTCTATTCTTTCTGTCATTATCAAATATTTCTGTCCTAAATTTCATGCTAGCATGTTCCTCAATTTTCATAAATTTTATGTTTGTGACTTTAATTTTGGACACCAGTGTAGTTATGTTTAAATATTTTTATTTATATTAATTAGATGATAATTTTGAGGAATAAAGAACTGATATGGAAATCAGATTAACTTAGTTTTATTTTGATACAGTCTAACTTTAAAATACTGGAATATATAAGATGAAAATTTTTCTTTTTCAGCCCAGTGTTTACACACTGTAAGTGAAAACAATGCTGCCGTAACGGATATTTTGCTTCAGCCTCTAATACAAGAACAATTGGATGCTCTAATGTCATTGTCTTCAGCAGAGCCTGAACACCTCTTATTACAAACCTTGGCTGCTGGTATGATTACATTCTTAATAAAATTGTCTTATTTCATAAAGATTCTAAATTCTTCTTTCTGATGATACATGTTTTAATAATAGGTAAATAATATTATTCACTATTTAATTTTTTTTAAATTCTTTTGAGTTAAGAAACCCATTCAACAAAATATTGTATTTCTACAAAACTGTTAACAAGGACATTTGTTAGACAACTGTTAACTGTGACATTTTAATTTCATTTACAGCAATTACCTTTATGAATTCTATGGAAATATTTGTTCGGCAAAAACCTTATTCTCTTTGCTTTCAATTTATGATAAGATGTTGGAGGTAGCGTATTTTTTAAGACAGCACAAGTAAGCATGTAAATAGTGCTAACACGTAAAAGGAGGAGAGAGTACCACAGCTTCACTTCTTGGAAAAAAATCAAGAATATCCTGCATTACTTCTACCTGTGAAGCCCATGTCTCACATAGTTACACATTCCTCTATTCTTGAATTTAGAAGCATGTTTATTTTTTTTATGTAGAATAATTTTTTTTTTTTTGCCCGCAAGCTTTATTACCAGGACCCACAGTGACCTATAATCAACTAGAAAGAGACATGTAATAATTTTGCTAAATTTCTGCACTCTTAAATGTAGATATTATTTGAATATTGTCTGTTAGCAAGAGATTAAAGAGAAGATAGGATAACAGCTCTCATGATGACGATTGGAGCACTAGTTGTTTCAAGGGAAAGTAGGTTAAAAAAAAAATTTAAAAAAAAAAAACTGGCATCTGCTCCTTTTTCACCATAGGACATGGAACCATCCATATAGACATGTAACCATGAATCTCTCAAATATCTATTTTAAATAGTTGATGCAGCAATTACCTTTACCTGTAGTGTACACATGTCTCATACACACCAACATATGGAGATTTAAGTGGACTGAAAGATCTTCATAATTTAAGGGTGAAATGGGGCCAATGAGAATATGTGGACTGCAGTAAAACTCTAAATCAGTGGCTGCAAAATGTGCATTTTGGTTAAAACCTTTTCGATTTTTCAGATTCTTTTAGCATTAACCTTATTGTTCCTCCAGAAAAGTCTGTTTTGTAGCTGGTGCATCTTTTCACAGAAAAGAACTGCAACTTTTTCAATTATGCTACTAACTGGAGAATTTTTAGCCTGATTTTTTATATTCAGAAAAGAAGTTCCCTTTACAGTGCCTGTAATAATACGGAAAGCCTGGTTTTAAATATTATCAACCTTTTGGATAATATTAGGGGTAGCAGAGATTAAAACTTGTAACTTAATACAGTCGCTATAGATGGATTGTATGAATAGCCTATGAATGTTGTTCAGAATATCTCGGCTGCATCCCAACTTGAATCCAGCCAAACTTTTCTCTTCTTTTTTTTTAAAGGGAAAAAAAAACTTTTATACCAACATAATCAACATGACTGTCATGTCAGCTTAGAATCAAGAACACAGCTTAAGTACATTTTGTTGTCTGTTCTCTGTAGTTCAAAGACCCAAGGTTAGGCTCAAAAGAGTATCTGTTTAATGTGAAAAACTGACAGATAATCTCAGATCTGTACCATCTACTAAACTTGTCTTAAAGCCTCTTTAAGAGTATTGTTTAATTTGTCTTGGGAATTCTTTGGTTCACTAGCTTACAGTATCAGATCATCGGTAAACAAAGCAGTCTTGATCCTAAGAGTACTTTCCAAATTATCAATCAGGTCATTGATATAGTTGTTGAATAAAATAGAATTCAAGACAGCACCTGAGGGAATCCAGTCTTTATTTATTTATATTTAGAGATAGAGTTTTCATATTTTGTAGGACAGAAATGATGTGCAGCATGTTACTGCTAACACCCAAAGAAATTAGCTTAGAAATTAATTTTGAACACCAAGCACTATTATATGAAGATTAAGTCAATGAAAGTAGTCAGCACGGAACTTCGGTTGTCAAATTTATTTTTGGTTTTGTGGCTAGGGTAAGCCACTTGCTGAGTTAGGAGAGAAAAATGTCTAAAACATAAATATATTGAGGTTTGAAAATTGATATTGAGATTTTATCTAGAGAAAAGAAATGATAGGATAATATTTGTAAATTATTATTTAATGTTAAAAATAAGACTAATAAAAAAGGACTAAATTATTATAACTAGTTTTGTATTTCCTTTAAATCTGCTAAATTGTTTTTAGTGTTTAAGAACATACATTACAGTACTTTTCGCCTGTTTTTTGTCTTAATGCGCTTAGACGATTATCTTTTAAGACTTTAGACATCTTGAAATGCATTTAAAAACTGGAAGATTTGTTTCATTAAGCTACTGAAAAAGTTTATTCTACACTATTAGTTTGAAAATTCATTAGGAAAACATTCCCATATAGATATGCTTTTTTTTTTTAACTATCACTGTAGTGCGTCTACCTCTACAAAAATATAATTCCTATTCACTAGTATATAAGACATGTTAACTCGATAATAAGCTGGGGTACCTTTTCATAGATGAAGGTTGACACTGTCAATAACAACAATTGGTGACCTTCGGACGTTATCACGTCTACCTTGATCGAAACTCCCATTTCGATTCGAGCGCGATTACTTCGATGAATGGTCCTCATTGAACAGTTGACTTGCTACTTGTATCTGCGACGTTGCTACTCAGTCTCAATCGCATGCACAACGTCGGCCTGTATACACTCAACTGCTAATGGCAACACACGAGTGACCACGACTGGGAACTTAATACAGCTTTTACTGTCAGCACTTAAAATACAATCATAATACAGCTCTCCCGGCTTCTCACAAGACAGCAATGAATCAACTAGTGGTATTTGTTCATCGAATTCTATCACAGATATAATTCTGGTGGGGGATCACTGTAGTGTGTCTACAACTACAAACATACAATTCCAATTAACTAGTATATAAGGCATGTTAACTCGATTCTATGTTGGGGTACCTTTTTATAGATGAAGGTTGACATTGCGTACTTGGCAAGTCTCCTGTTTTTTAATGAAGAATCCTGTGTTTTACAACTATCTCCTGTTTTGCCTGTATATCCTCAAATTTCTCTGTATTTGTTGAAGTAATTTTTTTAAAAAAATTTTGCTGATGAAATAATTGATGGCAAAATTGCTTCTTTTATTCCTCAGCAGATAGTGCTATTACCAGGCAGTATGTTGAGTATTTATATACAGGGTGTCTCAGTTAAGCGTTTCAGAACTTCTAAGAGGGGTAGGGGCATCCTGCCGACTCGAAATCATACAGCAATGTGGGGTCGAAAATGCTTTCCTGACGCGGTAGATGGCGTTGTTCGAAAGTTCCGACCGAGCTTTCCAGTGCGTTGGCCTCCTCAGTCACCCGGCCTATCATGTCTTGATTTTTATTTCTGGGGTCATATGAAAACACTGGTTTATGACACCCCTGTTGACAATGCTGAGGAGCTGGTTGCAAGAATCGCAGTAGCTGCCGGAGAAATTCGAGATATGCCTGGAGTATTACAGAATGTTCGGATGTCCATGCACCGGAGATGTGAGGTGTGCATTGTAGCCGGTGGCAGAAACTTCTAACACTTACTTTGACCCATGTGCCTTACGCTTTTTTCAATGTATTATTAAAATTATTTTTCACTTACGGTCTCTTTTCTTTATGGTGCTTCTGTGTGCGTCACCGCTTCAGGAAAGCATTTCCGACCCCACATTGCTATATGATTTGGAGTTGTCAGGATGCCCTCTACCCCTCTTAGAAGTTCTGAAACGCTTAACTGAGACACCCTGTATTAAGTAATTATAAATAATGCTTTAAAAAAAATCTTATTTAGAGATTAAGAATTATATACATATTTTTTACTTCACTAACTGTAAGTGCTTATAATATTTCAAATTTTTTAATTCTCTTTTGGACTTACATGATTATGCATGAGGTATCAAAACTTTACTTGTAGCCTAAAATATGTCGCGAGTAAAATCTGCATTATTTTATTTCTCCAGTGTAGGCAGGTATAACATTGTCCTGACTACCATCCCCACAATCACAATGTTTTTTTAGTTATGAAAATATTAAATTTTCAATTTTGCTATTAGTTTTCATTTCTCTTCGAAATAAAACAAAAATCTTCCCTTTAAAATCTTAGAGTTAAACATCTTTTCTTTTTGTCAATTTCTTTTTTAAAAAATTGCCTTATTATGAATGCAAAGTGATAAATTGACTATATTTATTGCTAATACTTTGATTGTAATTTGTGTTATTACAGGTATTAAATTAAATATGTACATAAGAAAGTTGGATAATTGCATGAGTGATGTGACCACCCCTATCATAAAAGCAGTAGCCACCGCATTAAGCGAGCCAATAAGCCCGATGCTTGAAGATTTATCAAAAAAGATAGCTTACCAAAAGGTAAATTTGATTCTCATTGTTATTTTATATTTTAATATAAATTCTGATCCTGTTTTCATTTTTAAGCACATTGTTGATAATATATATGCTTAAAAATTAATGCACTATGGTATTATTTTAAATTAAAATTTAGCTTAATTTCAGTTTTTATCAATATTATGGAAATTGAAGAAATAAGTTGGAAATAAATTAGTTTAGGTTAAAATATTTAATTGTAAATGCTGTTGTTTTTATTCTTAGTTATTTTATTAGTAATGTTTTCTATATAAAGAGAAAAAGTTGTGAATTACAAAATTTGACCACCTGCTTCTTACCCAGCTATAGAAAAATTTCCATTTTTGTTGCATTTCTGTGCTAACAGACTCCAAATGTTTCCTATAATGTTTACAAGGTGGCCAAAAGTCTCTTGAAATAAGTTTAAAACCAAATATAAGTATTTCAAGTTAATGTAGAATATAATTTTTGGTAAAAAAAATTAATTTTCAAATTCTTGATAATGATATTAGCAAGTGCTTAGTGCCAACTGACCGTAGCAAGCTGTTAGAGTTAGTATCTTAAATTTTCATTAACATTCATTAAGTGGTTCTAATTTAACAATAGAAAATTTTTAAAAAATGGAATTAATAATGGATACAAAAGCTTCTAGCCTTCCTTAAAAGCTTTTTTTTTTTTTTTGATTTATGAAGATATTGTCTACAATATTTTATCCTCAACATTAAACCATTAAATATGTTCAATTCTATAAACTTCTAAGAGACTCAAAAGTTAAGGATAATCCTAAATTGAGTCTCAAAATTATAAGGAATGATAATGCAGAAAATAAAGTCTAATTTTGAGTACTTCAGAAACTTATTTTATAATTTATATCTCTAATAATAAAAATATCTTATTATTAAAAATATTTATAACTTAAAAAACAATAAATTACTTATGTATAACAATGGGAACTTGAAACAACTTATTATGACTCAAAAATTTAGGAACTCTCTAGTTTAGTGTGAAATTAGCTAACTCAAAATGTTTTTTGATAAACAAACACAACCTTGTTAGTAAATACCATAACAGCTAATATATCTTTTTAGAATCTCGGCTTTAAATAAGTGACAAAAAATCATTGTCTTAGACACTCGATCTTTAGTTTGTAGAAGCTCTCAGTTTACATAGTTATTGCAAAATCGATGAAATAAGATATTAAATGAATATATGAGATAAAATGACTTATATTTTAGAGCTGTGAGTGTTGAAAAACTTATTTTATATGAAATTTTATTCATATTAATAAACTATTTTTGTTATAAATAATACTATTTCATTTCTGAAAATTTATTATTGGAAATCATTCAAAAATTAATGTTAATTTAATATGGGATTTAAAGTTATTTTCCCTTTGATACATAAACCGAACTTTTTCATTATCTAATTTTGCTGTTACTTTCTTTGTGTGTAACGTAAATTATTTACATGTAAAGGATATTGTGACCTGAATCCAACTTTTCTTTTTTCCCTTCTCACTGTCCCACAAAGCAAATACACAATTGACTCTAAAAAAGATGGAAGGCATCCCTTCTGTATGAACTTCCATGGTACTATTTTTCACTCTGTATCTTCTGTTTTGAGAATGTAAAGTGCAATGACTAGCCGAATTGCTCAGGAAATGTACTGAAGAGCAGAAGCTTGTTGTAATGAATTAACCCTCCTAACTTTTCAGGGGTTTCTAATTGACCATCAGGTACTACTGTTTCCTGATTTTCCCCCACACACTCTCCCCATAGACATTAAAGTTGAGCTCTAAAGAGTTTTTTAATCTGCACTCTTTATTGATTTTAAATAAACATCTTGTGAAGTTAGGTCTAATTTATGAGATTGATACTATTAAAACTTTTAACTTTTATTGGAGGTAAAAATGATTGCTAACAGGGAGCGTAGCGTTTTTAAAAAGTGCTTAAAGGTGCTTATTTTCGTTTTTTGAGAGCCTTTAAAGGTAATTTTTTTCATTGGGTGTTTTTAAAAAGTGCTTAATTTTCCCTTTTTGAAACTGAGATTTTTTCCTTTTCTATGTTGATTTTTGCTTCAAATTATGCAAAAAGACATATTATTAATAACTACTTTAAGTCGTTTAACTTACCAATTAAAAACGATTTCATATTTTGTTGTTTGTAGGCAGGACGTCTTGACAAATATCATGAAGAAACAGATTTAGAAACTGAGGTATGATCAATAATGCATTTATTATTATTCATTCTTTTAATGCTTTGTAATTATTCAACATGAGTTGATATACTTTGTGAAAAAATGTTTTAAGTTGATTCTTTTGAACAACATTATATTTTTTTTAACACAATATAAAAACTTTAAATTTTGCTGTAAGAAATTAAGCAATTATCATACTTGAAAAAGGTTCATTTCTGTAAAATTGTTCCTTGTTTATGGTAAAATTGGGTTTATTTTATTTTGTAAATAAAATTTAAATTTATAAATAAAGTATTGAGGTCATCACTTCTTAAATATGATAATTAATATTCAGTCAGCACCAAACAAAACCAAATACCAACAAAAATGGACATTGTAACGTAAGGTTGCTATATCGTGACAACACTAAACTTGAGCAAATATTTACCTATAATTCATAAATACTGGACTTATTTTGAGAAAAACGTGCTATACATTAAAAATAATTATGAAACTGAAAGAATAATTGACATCAATACAGATTTTTATGTCAATAAAGCACAAGCATTAATATAATACATCAAACAAACGCTAACAATACCTAATTTTTAGAATGTCATTCAGTGCTTTTTCTAGATTTTGAAATTTTTTTTCATGAGAACTATGGCATGAAATTGGAACTCCTTGTTCTCCTGTTTTCAGAATAACATCACGATTTTTAATTAATGTAAACTGAGCACTTTCCAGAATTTTGAATATTAACTTCGAATTTTAATGTTAAATTTTTTTAATTTTATAAAATAAAAATACTTTTTCATGCATTTCAGATTGATTTATATATATATATTAAATCCAAAATTGGGTAATTCTTTTCTGTATATCTTTTGTTTGTCATTTTAAATTGAAATTTATTGTATGTGTCATTTGAAAGCCTTATTTAGAAAGTGTGCAAATTCCATTTATTTTTTTAAAAAATGAAGTTAACCCCACTTTCATGTTCTTACAAATCACTTCTAACCTATTTAAAATTACGTCTTTAGTTTAATATCTGCTACCAAACAGAGGGTGACACAATGAAGACAAGAGGGGGGAAATATATTCGTTAGACTTTAGCTTTCTATCTCAAAATGTAGGAAAATTGGAGTTTGATCCTACTATAATAAAAATATGATTTTTATTTAAAAATCTCACTAAAGTTTAATCCTCATTTATTTAATTGTGAGTTTTATTATAAATTAATCCATTTTAGATGACTGCTGTAGTTAAGGCAGAAGAAGCTTTGATTCATCTTTTGTCTGCTAAGCAAACAGCTCTAGAAATTCTAGGAAATGTGTTTGAAGGCGGTGAGCATAATTTCAGCATTTATATATTTATAAACATAAATGAAGTTTTTTATTATTATTATTAAAACAATAATTGTGATTATTCTTCTTAGGTTCTGATGATGAAAGTGATTATATATCTTGCAGCGAAACCAGTGATGAAATGGATATTGAAGTTGACATGACCTCCTCCGATGTAAGTCAAATATGAGCTGTGCTGTGAGACAAAATTAAAATGTGTGCATGATTTATTTAACTTATAATTTAAATCGTTAATGATTTATTTAACTTATAATTTGAATTTTAGTTTGAAAATAGGATTTCTGGTGACCTCAATGAGGTGATTGTAAGTTATAAGTTGTGGGAAAAGGTTCACGAACAAATCTTTCTACCTTCTGATGAAGCTGAAAGAAACATCGGAAATCATCCATCTGCAAAAGACTGCCTAAAGAGGTATACTTTTTTATAATTTTTTTCTGTTTAAAAAAAAAATTTATAAAATTGTTTCCTAGTGTTTGAAACATGAAAGTCACTGTTTAATCTTATTAGGAATATATTATAAAACAGTTTTAAAATTATTCAATTTATATTTGCAGGCTCCATTCAGTGCGATGTACGGCTTTGTTATGTATGAACAACATGATACCTAAATTAGAAGTTGATGATGTTGGGGGACCATCGAAACTTCTGGAATTATGGATAAATATTGCAAATCTTTTATTTAAAAAAACAGGTACAGACTTTGGTTATCATTGTGCAGTCAAACCTCGAAATCCCAAACTTGAAAGGAAAGACTAAATATTTCATGATATTGAACATTCAAGATATCTAATACTAAGTATTTTAATGGAATATTTTTTTAAATGTAGTCATACTGTTCTCCTGACATTTTAAACATATAACATATATTTGCTACGAAAAACTGATTCTACAAAATATTTAATATTTTTTAATTTAATTTTACGCTTGCTCAAATTCTGTTTCATCATCTAATTTATCCCCCGATGCTGTAATCCTTTTTTAATATTTGATTCCTCCCAATCCCCGTATTCTGCAAGATTAATGCCTACTGTAACTACAGCCTTATTAAATATATATTTCTCTTGAATTCATCAAATCAGCAAAGTCTATAATTTTATGGACCATTATTCTTATCTATGTATACACTTCTTACAAATCTATTTCTTTAGAAATGAAAGGTTCATAAAATTATTTTAGAAAAGTCTTTTAAGACATGAAATACAAGAAAGCATTTTAAATTCCTCAGGGATTTTCAGAAACAAAAATATTTTTGAAATCTAGGGTCACCAAAAATATTTATGGCTTAAAGATTTTTTTTTCTTTTCTTTTATTAGCAGAGCAAATGCATAAGGAATTAAGAATTTATCATAATATCGAAAAATTCATATCATCAGTTTGTGAAATATACTGTATTACAATATATATATTTATAACTCTATGAATAATTTTCTTGAAAAGGATTTATCTTAGCATATATAAATACTCTCTTATTGGTTTTAAGTGTGAAATGAAATATTTTGCTGTAGACTCACTGTTTCTATATCATAATTAGTATAAATTGACAAAAATTGCAAAACAAAGCTCTTAGTTTTCTTTATAATGTCTTAGAACTTGACTTCATGGCAATAACGCTGCTGTTTTAGCATAGGGTATTTAAATTATATAAAAATATATATATATATANTATATATGAGAAAAGGAATGTAATATAAATTATTTCTCATATTCATTCTCATGTGTTATTTTATCATATTTCATATTATATATGCGCTCTGATTTTCATTGACTGCTTAAGTGCATGTTTATCAGAGTTTAATTGTTATTTTAAATGTTTAAATTATTTCTAATTAATAATTCAATAAAAGAAATATACCTGTATACATAAAATTTAAAATAAACGAACAATATTTGAATTGCAATATTTGTAATTGTAATATTTTTCATATATATATTATAAGTATTAGTAAAAATTATAAATAATGAGAAAAATGCTTAGTACAAATTTATTTCTCGCTATTAAAACTTATATGACTTAGATAACTGATTAAAAAGTAAAATTTGGTCTGTAGAAAATTTTTGGTTATTGTTAACGACTCAGCCTTCCTTGCCATATGTTTGGAATTAAGTTTTTGATTCGCTTTCACTCATTATTTTATTTCTAAAATGGTAAAGAGTTGCATAAATTGATGTAAAAGTTTTGAATTGGCAGCTATGCAATATTTTGAATAGATAAAAAAATTGATTAAAAAAGTAATAAATTAACAACAAACATTTTTAATGCTCATTTCTATTTTAAATAAAACTGAAACAGTTCAGTATTTTCTACTACTTTAATTATAATTATTTTAAAGAAATATTTGCTTTATTGGGTATGCATTGTTTGTTACAAAATATTGATATTTAAAAAAAGAATCCTTAAAATATCTGATGGATTTTGGGGTTAAAAGATAAAAAGAAATAATCTGATAGATTATCTACTTTTTATTTATTTTTTTAAGTATATAAGTAAAATTAAATAATTTAAAAATAAGTAGTTGCAAATATTTTATCTAAATATGTATTTTTAAATAATTCATCTTCTCAGAGATCTGCACATCATTAAGTATTTCAGCTCAAAGTTTAAATCCTATTTTTATTGAGCTTATTTCCTTTAAAAGTGAAATTTTAAAGATTTTATTGCCACATTAATCATTATTAAATAAAGTATGTGATTGTTGAATAGTCAGTTGGTGGAAAATTTTTCAATAGTTTTGATAATGAGTATAAAAATTTTAAAACTGTTAAAAGAGATGAAATTTTACCAGGGACAAATTGGGAGAGGAGTTGAAACTGAATATTTTGAATAAACATTTTTTGATCCCCCCCCCCATAAATTATTCTACCAGTTTGTCCAATTTGGAGTTTAGCTTATGAAAGTATATTTAATATATACAATGAAAAGGAATGTCATTTAACGTGTTTTGACTGTTATCAAATGAAATAATAATTAATTTTATATCCAATAATTTCTTTCTAGATATGTCTGACACAGATCAAGTAGAAGCTGCGACCCATTGCTTGCATGCTGCGTTAGAAAAATTAGCCTCCTCTGGTTACACATCACAGTTTAGTACAATGACTGACTTGGACCTTGAACTTTTGATAAATGTATATACAATGTCTCAAGATCCAAGAATCAGGGTTCATATTATTGGATCTTTGGGCACAATTGGAAAAATTTTATGTGAAATGAAAGCTCCAACATCTGAAAAATTAATAAAGGTCAGCTTGTATTTAAATAGTGTAATAATATTCATTATTTTTGCAAAATTAATCATGCTTATTCAAAAATATTACTTTTTACTTATTCTGTAATCTTTCCAAGTTAACTCGAAGAATTTTTCAAATCAATCTTTAAGGTTCCTATACGTTCTGTTACATATACAGTGTTCTCCCCAAGCATTATTAGAAGAGCAGACCACCCTGCCTGCCCTTTGATCCTTATGAATGTGCCCTCTTTGTAAACATGAGTCACCATCCCTTAAAAACTTTGCCCTTTTATTCCTATTCCATTTTTAAAAAGATTAATTCACTGTTTAAATATTAATTACACACTGGTAAAATTGTCTGTATTTATATGTTTAATTATGATTACTTTTACAAATATTTACTTTGTTAGGATTAATCTCAAATCGTTACATTTTTATAAGTATCTCTTTTTCATATTAATAAATATTTTAATGGTTTTAATTTTTAAAATTGAAATGTTTGTTTTCTCATAATTTTCAGTTTAAATTATATATAAATCTTCTAAGTTTAACCAACTTGAAAGATTTTTATGTAATTTAAACTGAAAATTGAAATAATAAATTTTTTTTAGTTTACTTTTTTGGAGAAAACTTAATGCCTGAAGATAGTCTATTAGCATGCCTTGAATTATTTTTTTGAAATATACATATAATATACGAGGGTAATTTAAAAATTTTTGAGAATCAAATTCAGTTATTACATAATATTACACATTTTGATAAATTTTCACGGTGTTGAATGAGTTTCCTTTCCTCAGAGGCAACACCCTATCCTTTTTTTATCCCCAGGGAGAACTCTGACATATATATTACCCATATTATTAACTTTTTCTTAAAATTTGCTACAAATACTTATATAGAATAAATATTTGCAGAAATCATATTGTCTTATTGTTTAAACATATACCTTACTATAGAGTTTTAATTTCCCTTTTGTTTTAGATGATTGGTTCTTTTCTTCTTGAAGCCTGCAATAAAAACACTGACTTATGGGTTCTATCTGAAATATACGATGCTATCATTGATGTATTTTCAGATGACAATGTAGATTTTATAGCAAAGGAAATAGATCTAGTCGAAAATCTTACCAGGTTACGAGTACATTTTGAAAAAAAGGTAATTCTTTAATATACTGCATTTATACAACTTTTAAAAGTTCTAAAGAACATTTAAATTGATTTTAATCTACAATTCATACTCAACTTTACAATTGATGGAATACAAATTTAATAACTATCTATGCTTAATATCTATGTATAGATAAAAAGCTGTTTAGTATGCAATTAATAGGGAAAAACATTAACTTTGTATGGAATTATCCCCCCCCCCCAATTTCATGGTGTTCTGAATATCTGAATTTATAACAAAATTCCCACTCACAGTCTTATTTTATTGAAATATAAAATGTTTTTTTCATGTTCTTTAATTTTTTTCAAGAACACCATAATTTTTTAAAGAAAAAACATCATTTCTAGAGCAAATTATCTTTTAAACTTCTGTGATTGTTGAATTTTTATTATTAATTTTTTTTTTTGTTACCAATTTAAAATTCTACCTGAAGCAAACCAGGCATTGGCAATTTTTTTAATTTCGAAATGAGAACAGTAGAATCAGGAATATTTCTTTCCTTTACGATGAACAAGAAAAGTATCTTTAGAATATAATTCAGTAGGAAAAAAAAGAAAAAAGAATTATTTGCTTTTGCATTTTTTTTTTCTCTTTCTTTACTCTGTTTTTTAAATTTATAAATATGAAGATGCAGTGTATAACAGTTCTATCAGTTTTACAGTTTAATCAGAAAATTTATCTTATCATTTAACTACCTGTACATTTAGATCTTTTTAAATTAACATGCAATTCTCAAAAGTGGCAATAATGCTGATATATGTGCATGTGTGTGTAAAACAGTACCACTGAACCAGTTTTTTTATTATAAATTTGCTTGTTAAAAGAAGATCACTAATTGTTCCTTGCTGAAACAAGTGGTATTTAATTAGGGTGATGCAAAGGCTAACTTAACTGTTTTGGAATTTTTTTTTAGAGGCTATTATGCATTTTGTTTTGTATTATTGCAAGTGTGAGTTATGTCATTTTTTCACTTGCTTGATAAACCAATTATGACAAGCAAAAAATATTAGATATCTAAACATCATAACATTTTTTCTTTTTAGTTCAAACAGCAAAGAAAGTTTCTGGGTGAAAGAGCAGATGTGATAAGAACAGCAAAAGACAATCTTAAAAATTTTATAAAGTATAAAAATGAATATAATAAAAAGTAATATTTTATCATTTTATGATATCTATTATTTCATTAATTTTCAAATACTACTAATACTGCAAATGGTTTCCTGGCGTTATCATTTCATTAGCACTTCTGCTTTAGAACTCTTAATTGTGATATTTTTTTAACCTAACTTTATATTTTAAATTATGAATAGTATGATGATTATTATAATAGAAATAAAATACCAATTTAAAATCCTTTTTGAAATGCTAATAGGAAGAAATCTAATTTTTATGGGTAAAGAGAGTGAGGATTTTCAAATTTGCCTCATAGGTAATAGAATTGTAATATATAGACATAAAATTCTAGAGCTTTTTTGTAAGATTATTCTTCTCAATCACACTATCTCTATTAAATGCAGCCTCAATCCATTTTTAAATACATCTTTTATTTCAAATATTAATACAAACTCGATAAATTTTAACAAGAACAAATAGATATAAAAATATGTTGTATAGCATATTGAACAATGAAAGAAACATCAACTAAATGGAATCCTTCAAACATTTTCCAAAGTGGGCTCATTATGCATCACCAATAAGCTTAATTATACAACAAAAAAAAATTTATAATTAATAAAATAAGAAGGAAGACTAATCAGGCTAGATTCGAAATTTATTTTTTATGCTTTAATATTTCATTAGATTTCTCAAGAATATATTTTTATAAAATATTAAAATTTGTACTAAACATATTTAAAAAAGACTTAAGCTAATGTTCCTAAATTCGCAAAAACATCACTTAAAACCATCTTCCACTATTAGCTCTTGATGAAATTTATAAATGTAAATAGCCTGTTGAAAAAAATTATATTTACAACATTTCCACTTTTATTTAAAGAATAAATCAAAAGTGTTTTAAGTAGTATTATTATGAAAGAAGTATTAAGAACAAATCAGCATTGATGGAGTAAATATAAAGCATTCTTATTATAGTGATATTAAGTGATCTTATTAAAATGATATCAGAATAATTTAGCAGTATCAGCAAATGCACACCCTTCAACTTATTATTTTAAAACTATGTTATAAATATGACAACTGGAATAAAATAAGATAACTTTGTTTAATACATTATTTTTATAATCAATTCAATAATATTTAGGTCCTATCAAATATAATTGACCTTTTTCCTTCCTCCCCCCTCTTCAGCACTTTTCATTTGCCCAATTAGTACCTTTGATTTTCGTCAAAATTTGAGGAGCACTAAATCAGTATAAGGATCTCTGTTAGAATATTTACACGACAAGTATGTGTAAAAAATATTGACTAATATTGTAAAAAATATTTGACTAAGCAAAATTTTTTACATCCCAGGGGCAAACAATTTTCTAGCTCTGATACTTAACGACACAGTTAAAAACAAACTGTTGCTAATTTATTTTAATAACTATTAGAACTTTTATCATAATTAAAAATAAGTCTTATACTTCTGTAATTATTTTGGTACACTAATAAAAAATTAAACTATCATGAAACAATTTGAAGGAGGTATATTTCACTTAATCTTTCCTGAAAATATGCATTGATAACTATGCTTCACAATTTTTGACATATGAGGATATATCAGAGTACAGACACATTATTGCAGAGTTAAAATACATTTTAAAATTTTGATTCTGCAATATTACAAGTCAGATGAAAATTAGTTTTCACCTTTTTTTTTTAATTTCAAGTAAGCAGTTTCAATACTGACAAATTTACATTTTATAATAAATGATGGTATATTTCAAACTCAAAGATATGATATGACATATTGAAACCATGATTCATTATTAGAGTAGAAATAAGATAATTTGAAATAGCATTTTAGTTTTTAAAATTATCTAAGATTGAAGGATCTACTTATATTCATCCAGAAATTTTTCATGGTATTCTTCTATCCGTTTCAGCATAGCTTTCAATTTATCAGTTTGTGGTAGTATTGTTGTCCTGTAAAACCAAATTTTTCTTATAACTTGACAAAATAAAAGCCTTGCAAGCAATTCAATTTTACTAAATGAATTATAATAAAAATGTTTCATTAGGTGTTTATTAAAGATTATCTATCTAAGCATTTCTAACCATCAAGTCTATTTTAAATTTGTGCAGATTGAAGTGTAAAGAAACAATTCCAGACACATTTCCTTGTTAGATAAAAATTTGAAACATAGACCAGGGTTTGGTTTTTACATTTGTTAGAGAATCGGTGCAAACAGATAAGACAGAGCCAAAACTGATTAAAGATAATGAAACAAATTAATATTTTTACAGTAATAATTTCATCAATTAATTATTATATATTTTCCAGAGTGTGTCATTTCGTTACCTTTGTGTATTGATAAAATGGAAAAACTTGTTTCCATAGCAATCAATATCACTAGTGACATGTTTTTTTTTTCCTGACATTAAATCATATGATCACAGAAAATAATAAAAACTAATTTAAGCAAATCCTATGACAGAATCCTAAAATAACAGGATTAGTTAGCAAATTTTATATTTTAAAATAATTCATTTCCAATGAACTCAAAATTAAATAAAAGGCAAGTATAAATAATTTTTAAAATTTATACAAGAATAAAATGTGCCTACACTTTAAATTACGAAAATTATTACAAAACATAAATTATTTTGTCAAATATATTTCTGAACCTCTAATAGTATTACTTTAAACACTACCACTTATTATTAATTTTTTTTAAAGCATTCTAGCCAATTATGCCTTTTCAAAATAAAAGAAAAGCCATTTTATTCACAAAAAAAAAATGCGAAATATTGCAATTAAAAAAAAATAATAGAACATAAATGATAACATAAACGGAAGATAAGCAGCATCCTTATTGAAAATGTAATTTTTCTTATGATTATAATGCAGTATAATGTGTAGACTTGAAAAGAAAAAAAAAAGGATATTTCAGTTAGATAATTTATTTGCTTAGAACTTAGTAAGAGCTTCAAATTACCTAAAGTGATATGTTCCTGGTATTTGCCCGAACCCACTTCCAGGTACTACACATATTCCAGTATTCTCAAGAAGTTGCATTGCATAGAAAAAATCAGGAGCCTGTCCTAGTGACTAAAGTAAAATATGTATGTATTTCACTGATTCAAAAAAACACATTGAATTTAAAAAAGTTTTAAACAAATTCTTTTATAAAAAATGATAAAAATTTTAAACCTTTCTTTTTTTGCTTGATAAGATTCAGCTTCCCATCTGTTACATAACTTGACTGCCGTAATATATTTATAGATTAGATTATTTTTTCAACTGTTTTTTTTTTATTTCTGATCAACTTAAAACAAACTTTGCCTTAGTAAGAAATAAATAAAAACATTTAACAAGAAATAGAAAACAAAAGATCATAAAGTCAAATCTAGCATTATAGAATATCATATGAACTGAAACTGTTGTTTACTGTATTCAGGATTCATGGTAGTCCTGATTTTCCTGATGAAAAATATATAATTCTTATTTGGCCTAATTTTTAGCTATGTGTCGTATTACTTTCTGGTTTTTAATTGCCTTCTGAACATCCCCTTTACTAATACAAATACTTAAAATAATCAATTTGACCAATGGAAAGATTTTAATTTTTGTTGAAATGTTCCATTTTAATTAACAATGTAGTAGAAATTGCAAAATTCAATCGTTCAGATTTAAGAACAGTCTACTAATTATATACATCGTATAGGCGGCATAAAGTCTTACTAACAGGATTCATTATTTAAATTTTTGAGGGATTCAGACATTCTTAGAAAAAAAAATTATGGTGATGAATAAAGAGCTCATATACTTATTGTTTTTAGCAAAAGCAGTAACAAATCTTGTAGGCTGGAGTTTTGTAGTTTCCAATCACCAATATAGTATTCATATAGATAAATGGTGAGTTGAGGGATCATCCATTAAATTACTTATAAACAAAAATGGTAAGCAACATATTTACTGTGTTTTCGTTTAGAGATTATTAAAACCGAACTTAAACTATTTCATTTATGTCACAAATATTTTTGTACGAGAGAACATTAACAAATGGATACCGGTTATTTTTTTCAATTCAACAGTAATATAAAAATTTCCTATAAATATTGATCTCAAACTATTGAGTTGTACAGAGTTGATGAAACTGTAGAGAAAGCTGTTAAAACTTTCTGTTCAGAACAAAACAATACTGGAAAAACAATATTTTTTTGTTTTGGCGTTGACTTATATTCAAAGTTGTATAGTTTGTAGTTTGCGTTTTTTAAAAGTACTCTGGTATGTCTATTTTGTTCCGAAAATTGTCCTGATTTTCTTATTGGCCTACTACAAAGCATGTTGTATTGCTCATTGGTAAAAAATAGGAATCACATGTGTAATGGAAAACAATGATTTAACTGACTGATGAATGATTAAATTTGATAGAAAAGGTTTTTGAATTTAATGAGAGAAGTTTGTTGTGTTCTACTTTATAATAAATTACCTATGGATTATTTGTTGATGTCAGTACTTAATAAACTTATTTTAAATCGATGTTAGTTAAACATATAGAATATTGGAGGTGTGGAGTTAAACTATGGAGAATGTTACGCTATGCTAACGTGCAATTGGGTTTATAGAAAACAGTTAGTAAACTGCAGATAAAAAAATCACCACAAAGTTTTAACAAAATATCTTGCAAAAAAGTAAATCACAATATAGAAAAAAAAAATGCTATGTCTCCACTGATCTTTCAAAATATTTTCATGGTCAAATCTTACTCTAAACCTGTTAGATAAATTTTACCACCATAGCATAGCTGCCAACTGTTCAGAATTTTTCGGATTTGTACCTAATTTTTAAATCCAATCTGATATTTTTATAAAAAATCTGAATTTTCATAAAATTTTTGATTTTAAACCAATCGTTTTTTCTGATCGCCACAAGCACGCATCCTGTGATTATTGAGCTAAAGTAATTTTTAGTAGCTTTTTTAATGGAAAATATTATTCCAATAGCTGTCTGTTGTTGATTATTTCACTAAATTATTATTTTTGGAAATTTTTTTTTGTAGTACTTAAACACTTGCTATTATATATTATAAGTTTCCCACAAAAGATAGTGTTTATAGTTTTGTTTTACTAATTTACATATATGTCTATTAATGTTATGATTTAATAGTTAAGTTTTTATCTTACTCTCGTAATTAGGGCGTATAATTTTGTCGCATATAGTGTTCCTAATTTTTTATTCCTAAGGTTGGCAGCTATGCCATAGATTTTAATATGAAAATATTAATGTGGATATTAGTTTTCTAGTAGTTTAATGTCAAAATTAGTTTTTTTTTGCATAATTTACTTAAGCTAAAACTGTGTATTAGCAATAAAATTAGGATTCTTTTCTTTAGCTATGCACAGTTATGTCTGAAGGCGAGCACTTTGTTTACATTCAAAATTAGTTTTGAGGTGATAAAATTATTAATTTTAATTTTTTTTCACGGTTATTTTATGGAATGGAAATACAAATCATTAATTGTATGTTCCAGAGGCTCAGACATGAGCAGGCACCAACTTCCCATTTCTTCCAAATAAATTATATGATTAGTTTTATATGCTCTACTTTTCTTATGAGTTATAAAATTCTTATTTTAACTTAAAGGAAACTTTATGTACAAATTTCTCTTCAGAGAAAAAAAATTATACAAAACTTTCGAGTTTTACCTTAGCTTTTTGAATAGCCTTTTCAGGTAGAGTTATTCTAGGATAAGCATACATGGCTCCAACTACAGCATTACATTTCATTCCTCTAATCTTGTTAAATGTCTTCTCAACTAGCAACGCTCTTTCCTTTAAAGATTTCAGTACCTCAGATTTTTCCTAAAATGCACTAACATTAAATTAATNATTAAATTAATTAAAAAAAAAAAAAAAAAAACCACTAGACCAAACATTTTATGAATTTTTTTTCCTGCAAAAACATGCATATAAAGTACAAAAGCTCATCTATAGAATAATAGATGTCCTTTTATACTGATTTAAAATGAAAAACAAATTGTATTTATTAGGGTTATCCATTTATCTTTCCTTTATTTACACAGGAGAATTAAAATGTACTTACATAAAAAGAGAATTAACATATTTTCTCATGTAAAAGTCTATCCTGCGTTTAGGTTGACTCTTCATTTAAATTTAACATGGAGTATTTGGTGTTGGCCATTGAATTCACGCTTATTGAAAAACTAATTTAACCGATTACAAGTAGCCGAACCAATCGCAGGTTAATCCTTTCGAATCAATATGGATGAGACATTTTAGATTTCTAGAATCAACATGACCTATATTAAAGGTTTTTGATCCATCAGCAAAAGTTTTATTTCTGCTATATCTTTGGAGTGTGTTTTGACTATAACTTTTCTTATGTTTTTTTTTTTTTAACAGATCAAGTAAATGTTTTAAGCCAAAGGATATTTAAAACTAGATTTATAAACATTCATCTCACAGAGCGTTCAAAACACTTGTAACTTTTAAAGTGCAAGAGATAAAATGATGAACTTCTAAATACCTTCCTAGATGGTTTGATGAATGATCATGAATAATGTATATCCCATGCATGTTTATAAATCTAGTGTTAATATGTTGCAGGATTGAAAACTTTTAAGTGCAAATGTATTACTGATTAACTAGTAATTACTTTCATTCAATTTAGGGTCTCGAAAAGTAGACTTGATAATATGGTACTAGTATAAAAAAAAGTACTAACTTCTGAAGTATATTATTGTAAGAGTGCTTCAAAAGAAAAGAAAAAACAATTTCACATAATTGTGAAAAGACAAAAAATAAAACAATCTAGAACATTTTGAAATTTATCTAATGTCTGCAGATCTAAGAACCTCTTAAGACCCTAACCCTCAAAAAACTATTCCACCTGCTACTAATTAATACTGATATTACATTAGGCATTTTTGAAAACTAAAAGCTGCATTTTAGGTTCATAACATTCCACAATTAAAAAAAATTTCAAATTACCCACATTTAAAATCATATCATTAGTTTTTGATAAATAACACAAGTCTCAACTAAAAAAAATTTCTGAAACCAATGGTAGATTCTGATAATTTTTTGAACTCTGATTTCAGAAAATATTGTGAAAGAATTTATCACTTTTAATTTTTTTTATTAATTTAAAATTTTGATTTTTACAGCCACCTATCCATTGTATTTTAATCTGCTAAAGAAAGGGATAAGCATTTAGTGGCATATGTCGTCACTACGAGTTAAAATTTGAGATGTTTAGGATATAATGCAAATAAATACAAGTTTTTAACTAAAAGCAGGTGCATTTTTTTGATAGATTTTTATTCAAATTATCTCTTATTTGCGAGAAGAAACTAACATTCCTATCTAAACATTAAGGGTATTGTATTTTTTTACGCCGAATTGGCTCAAATCAATTCTAAGTCAACAGAAAATAATGTATAATTTTTGTTTAAAGAAATATATAATTATAGCTTTAAACTATTAATTCTATTGATTTAATTCTTATTAACTCAATTTAGTATAAAAAAAATATACAAGAAACAAAGCGTCATTTGTCTATATAAGAAAATGATGCGTGTAGATAGATTTGATATAAAATTATTGTACTTTTGAGACAAAAACTACGATAACTTTTTAAATATTCCTATCAACTTTAGTTTGATATCCTTAGACTCAATGTAAAATTATATATCAGAAACAATACCTCACTTGTCTGTACAGCAATATTTTAACAAGTGAGTCATATATGCCTTCTGTAGGAACGCATATATATGACTCGCGCGTCCCAAAAGGGTTGATAAAAAAATAAATTATTCAATTATTATGCCCGATTTAAAATTCAAAGCTTTGAAATATCTACAATATATTACTGCAACATAAATATATGCATCAAAATTTATCATTTATGTTGCATTTAATTAGATGTAAAGAATTTATTCTCGTAGCACGCTGTTTCATGAAAAAGGAAACTTAATTCATCTTTAATCAAAATACAAAAAAGTGCACAAAATTAAACAGAACTAAAACATTAATATGACCTTCAATGTAGCATTACACGACTCAAACAGTATTTTGTTTTATTATTTGAATGTAGTAAGGAAATATTAAACTTATTAAAAATAAAATGATCCAAATAAATAGGTTACCTTAATAAAAAGATCATAAGATGGATCACCCTTTTGAGGTGGTTTGACAACACAATCCATTGTTATCTAAAATATTTAAAGCCATTTTTATAATTAATTACTAATATTATTAATTCCAATTAATAATAATTCTTAGAATACATAAAATTTAATGCAAATGTGGACTTCCAAACATTTAACAAACAAAAAATTTATTTAAATATAGTTTAATGAAACATCAAAACCATGCCATGAATGGACTCCAATACTACTCTATTGCACAAAATTGATGAACTAAAAGTTTCAGATTCCATTTTTCTTCATTCAATATTATTTAAAAAGATTTGTGACCTAATTATCTGAAAGACTCTTCGTGCTGTAAAAAACAAAAATTTAATGCTATATGATCTTCCTGTAACTCCATATTTATCAGATATTTGGAGGAAATATCTTTAATTATCAATTTATTTTTAATTGGAATAAAAACTTATAATACTTATTTTTAATTGTTAACTCTTTTCAATAGTCAATTTTCAAAGTTTTTATCTGTTTCATTTTTTTACTTGTCTTGGTTTTATCATCCTTGCTATTTTATCCAGCTGAATTCCTTGCCATTTTATCCAGCTGAAGAAGGTAGATCATGTCTGATGGGCACAAACTTTTTTGGTTTTGATAAATATAGTATTTGAGATTTTAATTAAATCATATCATACAGGATTTCTCTTGTCAATTTTTTATTAAATTAATTCCATTTTTACAAAAGAAAAAGCTTAGAAATAAATTAAACAAAATAAATTTTTACCTGACCCAAAACAGTAGAACAGGAACGTGCAGACACACATTTTAGTAACATTTTCTTTACACCCATATCAACATTAACTAATTCACAATAACCTCCTCGCAAGCCACATCTAAAATACAGAAAAAGTAAGGGTCAACCACTTTTAAATCAGATTAATCTACTTTAGATATCATAACTAAAGTAAATTACATTCAAACCCCATTATAGCGAACCTTCAAGGGCCCAAAATTTCGGTACACTATAACCGGGAGTTCACTATATCATGGGGTCTGTATATAGTGAAAGGTCCGTTTTTGCAAAATTGTGAAAAAATTATTCGCGCTTTGTGAATATAAAATAAGCGTTAAGTCGCATTCATTCAACGAGAGTCCTGCTTGTGAATTTGTGCAAATAGGGTCCTGTTATTGCAAAAAAACTTTTCAAGCAGTTCTTAAATTGTAAAGACATACAAGATTATGCTCAACACTGTAAAATTATAATAAAAAAATCTAATTTTAAAAAATAAACAGCAATTGCTGTTACTAAATTAGAGATGCAACATACAAATATTTGGTATTTAGCCTATACTGCTGAACGCAGAATATTCATTTCCAACGAATAAAGGAAAGGCCGAAGACCAAACTTAGTTCTTTACATCTGTCTTTCTCCCCCCCCCTACTCCCCTGGGAAGGGTTTATTCGATTAACAAAACAATAATGAAGAAGATAAACAAATTTGTGAAGGGTCCGATTAAAAGAAATTATTTTGTGAAGGTTCCGTTTTTAAGATAAAATATTTTGTGAACGGTCCGTTTTTATGAAAAGATATTCCGTGAAGGGTCCGTTAACGGACCCAATTTTTTTCTAAACAGACCCCTGATATCCATACTGTAAACAATTTTAACTAACTTTTCCGAACTACTCCCTTTTATTACACATTATTTAAATAAATGAGCAATAAAAAGAAATACACAAATGATTAAAAAACAATCTGTAATAACAAAAAATATGTTAGCATTTATTTTTTATTACTCTTAGTCTTGCGAACAAAACATTTAGGGATAGGAAACTGAGATAAAAGAAGCAAACAAGAAAAAATTCTTATGGCTACATTCCACTCAATAAATGGTTTTGAAAATCGGTATATGTATTTTAAGTAGAAACTTCAAAACTACCAAAGAATGAAAAAAAAAAAATCTGTCGGAGACAGATAAAAGCATAATAACCAATTTCCTCTCTTCTTTTCTTTCACTATATCCACAAAAAATAATACTGTCAAACCCCGCTATAGCGAGCCTTCAAGGAAACGAAATTTCGGTTTACTATATCCATTACTCAGGCAATTTAACGAATGGTTCCCAAACTCCTCACCTTTATTACACATTATTCAAATAAATGATTGAGAAATATTATGCAGTAGCAAAAAAAAAATTTCTTTTTTATTACTCGTCTTGCGTTCAAAAGAAAAAAAATTAGAAATCTTTAGCTGATCAGCAATCCTCAACATCAGATATGGAAACACTTCCCGACTCTCAGACAATTTTTCCTGAATTTCTGTTATTCCGCTTTTTAAACCTGTCTAACCTGCTATTCGAGCACATAAAAGTAGTCTCATAAAATCGTTTTCCAAATACTAGATGATATCAGATACTAGAAGATTGCGGCTTTTTCGAATGCTAACCACTTCAGTAGTGCTTCTTAAGCATCCTTGTGATCTGCTTTTCTCAACTTTTTTCTGCCATCTAAATTTTTTTCATGAGCAGAAATTATTAATTAAGAGCGCCGATTATCCGAACTGCTCGGGACCGAACATGGTTCGGATAATAAAAAGTTCGGATAATTGGAAAACTGTTAAAATCTAGTGTACATGATTATTATTTATGCACTAACTTCCCTTCGCACCTTTTGTAGGCTTAGGACTGGTAGTACTATCTAAAATAGCTTTGGCGTGTTTAAAAGTTTTTTTTTTCCTTCAATTTTTAAATATTTTTAATTAACTTTTTTTAAAACTTTTTTTCATTTTGAATTATTTTTATCATATTTCAGTTTTTATATATATATATATTTTTTTGTCAATTACTGATTTTACCACATTTTTCATTATTTTCCATTGCAAAAGAAATCCAGGAAAGATTTCGTTTCGAAGAAGATGCGTTTTTTTTTTAGCAGCCATATATCCCTTATTCTTTTTAACTAAATCAACTGAACTGGATCAACATCATTTTGACGTTCTAGCCAATTCATTGCAATATCTAATAAATTGCATGCTTCTATATGAGAAGGTCCACTATCTTGAACTTGATCACCTACTTCTTCCTCTTCGTCTGTGGAGTTCCGATTTTCATTCAAAATTTCAGCAACAATTTCATCATTTTCATCCGAAAGATCTGCTCCTACTGGTTCAGAAACTTCAGTTTTTCTGTTAAGAATTTTATTTCAAGATTTATTATTCCAAGCACTGTAATCACTAATCATTAAACATAAGTGACAACTACCCATTCCCCAATTATAAAACTTCAGCTCTTATCTATTCATAAACTCCTTCTGCATTCCAACCATTGTAGACTATCAAAATGAAGCTCGCATTCTTGGAAGATAATTTTCAGTTGTAAAGGGGCAGGTAGGTTTATCTGTATCACCATACATGTATGTATGGCTGCTATAGAAAACTGCTAAAAAGGTTGTAAATTAAATATGGTCTTCGAATGTAGGGGATATTATTTATTCTTCTTAATTTAGAAAAATTGTTAAGAGGTTAAAAAGTATTCTAAACTTTAAAAAAAAAAAAAAAAAAAAAAAAAAAAGAATAAAAAANCAGACATAGTTTGGATAATTGGACGTTCGGATAATAAGGGTTCGGATAATCGGCGCTCTACCTATTTTTCCATATGTTACAAACTGCAGATTTGGATAGTTTTTATTCCCTGCAAATATCAGCTGGATTGCATCCATTTTCAATTTTTCTGATTATGCCCATTTTATCATCAATGGAGAATGTTTACTGCTCGCCAGAGTTAAACTTGAGACACTTGCTTGCCGGCTTTTTTTTCTTTCTTTTTTTTAACTAAACTGAGAGGAAAAAGGAGTTGAAATGAGGTCCTTATCAACACATATTAGTGTCCTACCCTTTGACCAATAATGAATAATTACTCATTCCCTCAGACAGAAAATGCATATTGATCCCACTGACACCTTATAGGTGCATCATCTGCCTGGATTGGAAACATCTGTTTGGTTTGTTTAGGGATGGGAAAGTGAGACAAAAGAAGCAAACGAGAAAAAATGCTTATCGCTACATTCCCCTCTATAGATGGTTTTAAAAATCGGTATATGTATTTATTTTGAACTAGAAATTTCAAAATTATTCAAAAAAATGGAGAAAAAAATCAGTCGGAGACAGGAAAAAGTTCATTGTATCCAACTTCCTCACTTTTTTTGTTGCACTATATCCACAAAAAATAACATTATACGTACGTGTATAGCAAGGCACGGGACCGAACTTTTCGTTCACTATATCCGGGAGTTCACTATAAACCGTGTTCACTATAGCGAGGTTTGACTGTATATGCGTATAGCAAAGCACGGGAGCGACTATTTCGCTCACTATATCCGGGAGTTCACTATAAGCCATGTTCAGTATAGCGGGGTTTGGTTGTAGTTGAAATTTATTATTCTTGAAATAAAAATCATACGTCTTACTCGCCCATATATCCTTTAGAGGCAGACATGAAGGATGCCAATTCCATATATTTGTATGGTTCTCCAAGTTCAGTCATTATCTTTTTAAATGAGTAGAATTTCATATTATCAGGATATACGTTATCTTGGTACACCTTCAAAAAATTGCATATTGATAAGTATAAACAATCAATTTAAAATTAATCTAATTGAATATAAGATATAAAAACAAAGCAATAATTCCTTTAACACCAAAAATTATTTTTAAAAAATTACTTACTTCATCTGCCATCAAAAATAGTTTTTCATCATAAGCAAACTTAATGATTTCTTCCATGTTTTGACGAGTAAGAACAGAACCTAAAGTGAATGAATGATAAAGTTAGGGTTCACACCAGCATTTAGTGGTTAAATAGGACCACCTAGGTATTCATTTAGTGGTCCAAAAGCATAATATGATAGATAAATTAAAAAAAAAAAAAAATCAAATTATACATTGACGTAATTCATGTTATGGTACACATCAAAAATTATTAATTGTAATTTATAGTGCCCTGAAACTAATCAGATTCATTACCAATGAATAAATATAAGTATTCATTAAATTTAAGTGAGATAAAAACGCTAAAGTAATATTGGTAAACACATCCAACATAGAGATTAAAATACTGAGACCAAATAAATAAATAAATGAGGAAAACAGAGAAACTTAGAATTAACAAAATATTTTACATTAAAATTAATCATTTAAGATTTTAAATAAAGTCAACTCTAAAAAGGCAAAAAATTTTATTCATGAACAATTATACTGTCAGTACATGAATGTAAAGGAGAGAGAGACAAGTAAATTTGAAATTTCAACCTCAAAATTTAAAAAAGTTTGTACCAGACTCTTCCTTTAGAATACCATGCATTTGAGTTTTATACCATGCGTAGAGCAATAAAATTAATTTAAAAAAATTTTTTAAATACACCAAATTTGATACAGAAAAACTATTTTTTTTTGGTACTATTTAATAAATTTGGAACTTATTTGAAGGCGACAAATTTTTCACCCATGCTTATGATTTTAGCGACATTTGGTGGCAATTGTCGCCTCGTCTTCTTACTGACGTGAACCCTAGATATAGTTAATTCTCAGAAGATATTACTTCTTAATAACAACCAATAAATATTTTAAAGCATTAAATACATTTCAGAAAATATTTTAGACTTTCAATTAAATGTTAACTAGTCTTTGGTATGGTTAAAGTTTTGTCTTCCTGAGCACTGCAGCCTGTTACAGGCCAAGGCAGTCTTTCCAACTGACGCTATCTGACACTGTAGATCTACATCAGTTCACTCCATTCCCATTTACTCCGGATCTTTTTCAGCCATAAGGTCTTCTTCTGGACTTGGTGTCTTTCCTTCAAAGATTAAGAACAGATATTCTTCAGCTTCATTAATTATAGTTCATTCACCAGGAGTTGGCACTTGGCTCCTCCTTCATCACGTGGTATCCAACGATACTATTTCGCGATTTTTGGGTGAAGTAAGTGAACAATCCTTAACAAGGTTGCTATTTAACGATCGTATGACAAAAATATTTATTTCGCAATCTTTATGTGCATTTTTTTAAACATTAAATATTTCATAAATTTGATGATATTTCTCTCTTTTGAGTGAATAGTTTGTCCTTTTTGCAACATTCCGCTGCAATATATTTAATAAGCTAGAGTGACGAAAGGTATAATAGCAGGTGATAAAACGAAGTAAGTGATTGAAAAATAATTCACAGTTGGCTTTTGGTGCGCATTAAGGGTTGTCCCAATTTCAAGCGCGGAAATGTCTTTCCTCTTACTCCCAAGCTGAAATTAACTCTTCGTCCGAGGAAGTGGAGCCAAGCTCTTGGTGAACGAACTATACATAGCATTTACTTCTGAAAAGTGAGACAGAGGTTATCAAAGTATTGTATAGGCTGTGTAGTGAGACCAAACACTTTAAAAAGGTGAGAAAACACATTTTACATAAATAATACCATCGATGTAAATAACAAATAAATAACAATTCTGCTTTATCCTTAAAGATAATATTAACAATAAAAGAATGTAATAATACTTTAACTCTTCGGTTTTAAAGTATAACTGCAGTAATAATTAATAAAATATTAGGAATAAAACAATATTTTTCACTCTTGTATTTCAAGAGGATATAAAACATTGCTTATTTTTAAATTGAGCATACAAAAAAACCATAAAACTTTAAGAAGGACAAAATGTATCAATGTTATCATTACATTAGCTCACATACTTGCAAGGCAGTAGCCATGGTGGGCCCATTCAATTAAACTATTTTGCATTTTTTAAAGAAAAAAAAAATATTTATAAAATTATATTTACGTGCCTAAGTTTTGACAAAATATGTGGTAACCTTCCTTTCTATGCTCATAAAAATAAATAAAAATATAAAGAGACCTAAATTATCACTTTTATTTTTCTCTTCGTAATGCAATTTTGTTTCTTTGCATTGATTAATTAATACAGATATTAATGATAAAGTTTACTAGTATCTTTAAATAGCATAACAAAAATGAAATGAGACAACATATATTAATTACCAGTTGGATTTCCAGGGTTAATGACCACTAAAGCTCTTGGATCACATTCTTTACGAGCTTCATCAAGAGCTCTTTTCAATTCTTTAATGCTAAGAGCCCAAGCATTATCCTCATCAAGATAGTAGTTAATCTATTAAAAATAATAAANCTGCAATATATTTAATAAGCTAGAGTAACAAAAGGAATAAAAGCAGATGATAAAGCGAAGTAAGTTATTGAAAAATAATTCACAGTTGGCTTTTGGCGCGAATTAAGGGTTGTCCCAATTTCAAGCGCGGAGACGTGTTTCCTCTTACTCCCGAGCTGAAATGAACTCTTCGTCCGAGGAAGTGGAGCCAAGCTTTTGGTGAACCTAATATTTACCTAACATTTACTTCTGAAAAGTGAGACAGAGGCTATAAAAGTCTTGTATAGGCTGTATGGTGAGACCAAACATTTTAAAAAGGTAAGAAAGCACATTTTACGTAAACAATACCATCGATGTGTGCTCTTAAATAACAATTCTGCTTTATCCTTAAAAATAATATTAACAACAAGAGAATGTAATAATACTTTAACACTTAGGTTTCAAAGTATAACTGCAGTAATAATTAAGAAAATATTGGGAATAAAACAATATTTTTCACTCTTGTATTTCATTGTTTATTTTAAACATTGTTTATTTTTAAATTAAGCATACAAAAAATCATAAAACTTTAAGAAGGATAAAATGTATCAATGTTCACACTACATTAGCTCACATATTTGCAAGGCCGTAGCCATGGTGGGCCCATTCAATTAAACTATTTTGCATTTTTTAAAGAAAAAAAAATATTTATAAAATTATATTTACATGCCTAAATTTTGACAAAATATGTGGTAACCTTCCTTTCTATGCCCATAAAAATAAAAAGAGACCTAAATTATCACTTTTATTTTTCTCTTCGTAATGCAATTTTTTTTCTTTGCATTGATTAATCAATACAGATACCATTGATAAAGTTTACTGTTATCTTGAAATAACGTAACAAAAATGAAATGAAGAGCACAAATATTGATTACCAGTTGGATTTCCAGGGTTAATGACCACTAAAGCTCTTGGATCACATTCTTTACGAGCTTCATCAAGAGCTCTTTTCAATTCTTTAATGCTAAGAGCCCAAGCATTATCCTCATCAAGATAGTAGTTAATCTATTTAAAATAATAAAACATTGGTTTTTGAAATACCTATATGCATTCATGCTTTAAAAGCTAAAATCTCAATACAAAACAATTTTTCAAAAAAGAAAAAAAAACACTTCTTTTAAAGATTAGAAAATAATATTTTTTATTTACTAGTTATTGAACCTGGCAAGAGCAAATAAAAATAATGCATTATTGTTTAAGTGATCTGTATAAATAGAATGCAATTGTTGAAAATAAGTATCTAGTTATACTCTTATTATTTAATAGACAATTTTTGTGAGCATTGTTATTTTAGCCCTGTTACAAATCTTGCCACTGAACCATTGCTTAGATAGTAACTTCGCTTTTTTTCCTTGCAAGTGACTTTACGTTATTAGATTTATCAAAATACATTATAGTAGGATAATAATTAAAAATAGCATGGCATACATCCATAAATATAATTGCATAGTAACTTACAATTAAATAAGAATTATAACTTACCATATGCATCCCATATTCAGCAATTGCTGCAGAATAAAGAGGGTATTGAGGAATTGGAACCATAATACCAGGTGGCTTTCCATTAACTGGGCAGTTAAGCATGCTCAATACACTCTGAAAATTGGAAAAATTGTTTTGTTTTCTTAATTACATACCTAAGAAATATTGTTAATGCAGAAGATAAGAATTATAACTTAATGAACAAGATTAACATTAGTTAACTTACTTTTACACCATCAGTAGCACCCGAGCTTAAAATTATATCACTAACATTTGCTGGTATACCATCTCTTTGTTTTATGTATTCGGTAACATGTTCTTTTATCAGTTCGATTCCAGCACTATCAGTGTAAGATCCTGTAAGAATGTAAATTCAAAATTGTGAAATCTAGAAGTATCCTATTCTTTCTGCAACCACTAAAAAACTCATTCAAAATAAAAATAGAAAATCAAGCTTTAGCTGAATTAGATTTAATGCCAGTTTGAATAATTTTTTACAACTGACTAAATTGGCTAAATTAAAAAGAAAAATGAAATTTTAGACAAAAACTCAATGTAGTCGATAGATTAATGTTACAGAAAAGACTGATCAACCTGAGGGTCTTGACCAGATATGAACTCATTTACTAAAACATGATCTTAGACACACAATAAATTTTTTATATACCTAATTTCTACCATCTTATGCATTCAACACTAGACATAAAAACTCCTGCTGTCTTGACTTAAGCATCGCATAGCAGCATTGAACTTAAGCATCCACAAGACAGCATGCACAACGAGTATGCATGCTGTTAATAAGGGAGTTAAGGAGAACTTGTGGAAGACCCTCCCATTCTTCCACCAGAGCAATTTTTAACTCCAGAATGGTTCTGGGGGGAGGTTGGCGCATCGCAATAGCTCTCCCAAGAGCATCC